TTCTACGGATTTCGGGTCTGCATCTTCCGCCTGTACATCACTTACCACCTTCGACCCACGAGCCTGAGGCTCGTCCTTGCCCAACCTGGCCCTGGTCCCTCGTCTCGCGCAGTTGCCACCTGGGGGCAACTCAGTCATGCGCACTTCCCCACTCGTCTCGCCTTCGAGGATCGCAGCGAATGGACATGAAGGAGTTGGACGCAGGCAACTCGCACTCGCCCACGAGTGCGAGGGTGGAGAGCCTCCATGGCCCCGACTGAGGCAGGCAGCTGGCCGTAGGTTTAGGTTTTGTTAGGTTTCTTTTATTGTGAATTATCGCATGAATTAACTCTTTTTGATTTCCTTGTTTTTCTTTTACATTACATGTTCATCGCATATTCTATCTTGATGCTTCGGTTGATGTTTGTGTAGTGGCCCTAGATGTCTAGAAACCCTATCAGTATAACAAGTGGACCATATTGAGCACGGCCCTAACGAGATGAATTGTGAAATTGCAGGGGAGCTTAGGGCGGGCAGTTTCTTAGGGAACGACGCAACGCAGAAGCTAGACGAGCGCAGGGGGGGGTAAGGACCGCAGGCGTGGCCGTGTGGCATATATTTCGTTAGCGCAAGACCCCTCTTCGTTCTCGTCAGGGATTTAACACGACGCGAAACCTCCTTTAGCACCGATGCGCACTATACACATAAGGGAGGAGGGACCGCGTCGCGACAACTGCCGCGAAAGTCGGACAAACTTAGAGGCTGAGGTGGACACTATCGGTACAAAGAAGGGGACGCCAACGAAAAGCGCCATTTCTTTATATTAACTTGAGAGTGTACAGAGAATAGCGCGTAAGTGTGTAATGAATGCGAGTAGTCGGCGTATATTTAGAGATGGTCATCCAACTACGCGCGAAAATGTGCCAGTCGAACATGTTCAATAGGTTTTATCTTTTATTAACCACCATTAAAAATCAAGAGTCTTGAGTTAAAGCGACTTCGGCGCTCGTAATACGCTTAACGGAATCCTGTGTTTTGTCGACTTGCTTTGGTTGTGGGTCGTCCTGAAAAACCTATGGTACAGGAAGTTTGGAGAGCCGTCCCTCTCCTCCCAATCAGCACTATTGTCCATTCAAAACAAGCTGGGTGACAAAACAGATCAGGTAAATGAAAAACATCGAGCCGCCAAATGTAATCAAAGTTCGAGCACGCTCCATTAAAATTTTTCACTTGTTTGGCTCATTTTTATTCTGCAAATTTGGCAGCATTCCAGAAGCGTCAGACACTCTGAGCCCTATCGTCATTGAAGTCCTTATTGTAAGGCCGCGATGAAAGATCCTTTATCATTTGTCCCAGGTGGCCATGGGCACGACTTTTGATTAGGCGGAATCCAAGAGAACAATTGTGTTTTGACACATAGATCTGGGGTGTGCTGCAAGAATCGTAGAAGTTGACTTATATGGGAGACCCCAAGCATTTCGCTCGGAGCCTTAAGGTAACAGTGATCTTTGCCTAAAATGGCACAGCCTACGCTGATCCCATTGTGAGTTTGTTCGGAGGAGCATTGTCCCTTGCGGCGTTTTCTAGCCAGCTGAATTGAGAGAATAAAGGAATAAAAGGATAAAGTCTTCGCCGTTGATCAATCCCTTTGTGGGATGCGGCACGCATTCTACTTCCATTCAGAATCGTAGTGGCTTATTGAATGCGATGTGGCCTATACAATGACTTGCGGTGGCCAGCCGATGTACAAGTCAGTGTTTTATCCTCCCAGACGAATCTGGTACCAATTTACCGTCCCCGGAGGGTAGAAGGCTTGGTTGGCCTGGGCGGGTGTCGACCCGGGATTCGAACCCGGCGCCGCGCGAGTGGTAAGCGCGCCACTTGTCACTACACCACCTCCGCCTCAATTAGGAGACAGATACAACAAAAGTCACCTCCGCAACGATAAAGGCAAGAGGCACGATAAATCAACAAGGCGTACAGGGTCGATACCTCTAGAGCGAAAAATACTGTACCCCACAGCAGGCGCTGCATGGCGCCTTTTCCAACCAACGGCACCGTTATAGCGCCTAGTCAAGCTGCAACATACCACGGTCCTACCGCAAATGGTCGCATCGATGCTGATACTTTTATCGCTGCATTAATGAGAAACAGTTGATATGAAGCGCTGCTACCTGATATATACTCTAGTTCGCTGTGGACGGTTGGACGTGTCAGGTAGTATGAGTCCGTCACCCGGCCGAAGCTGTTCTCTGCCTCCTTGCTGATGCACGCATGCGAAAAAAGTGGTAGAAAACGAGTAATACGAACAAATCATATCACTTTGCTCGTTTAGCAACTGGCGGAGGAAACGCGGTTAGCATTGCGCTAAACTTCATTTCCCGCCTGACACGCCCAACCAGTTCGCAGCGAACTACACTATATGAACGCACATGTGCAGCCGTACCTATCGAAGCGGTTGTTGGCGCAATGACAACGAGAAACTCTTTTCGAACAGTGCTTCGTCCCAATATGGAATTCAACGCCGCATACTTCAACTTTTTCGTCATTTTTTCCTAAGTACAGCATCCCTACTGAGTACCAAATTACCGTGCCTTACGCCTTCACGTTAGTTGGGTCCCGCTGCGAATGCTATGCACATCACCCAGACTGTAGCGCCTCGTTCACCGCAGCTCGGATGTGGTTGAAGCTTAGCAATGTCTCTCTCATCGCGCTGCCACTCCTCTCCTTTTCCCAGGGTCATGTGAATTCACAATGTCCCGTTCTTCATCCATACAATAAGGGTGTTGTGCTTTCGAAGAGTCTGAGGCTAGGAAAGATTGAACGTTGCAGCTCTCAGCCATAATATCGAATACGGCAGGGAGTTGTTAGTTCTGAACTGCAAAGCTCCCGACAAGAACTACTAGAACTACGATTCTCACCTTATCGCAGTCATATTCGGGCATCACATTTCCGACTTCCCTCAATGTATCGTCATCTCGCCGTTTTTTCACCTGCATTTAAGAAAGAAATTGAACAGATCACAAGGCAGAACTCCAGGTTTCAATGGACTGAATAAAGCCGTCGTTATTTCGGTCCATGGGCTAAGACACGATGCCGGGATGACACATGAGCTAGGCTGGCTGCTTTCAGACGTGAGCCACTTTCTTGGGGTGGCGGTCTGCCTACAGGAAATATGCGTTGCAAAAGTGCTGCCTAACGTCATGGTCGACGTAGAGAACACCCATGGCCCGTAGGCTAAGGCGTGGGAATTTTTACTTTCAAAATACGTCTGTATTCCTAAAACGTTATTACACACCGTGTCTGTCATCTGCGAAGGAACGCGCTGCTAGCCAATTCTTAGGACCAAACAGTCCCAAACTTACCCTTACCTCCCAGGACCATTTTCTTGCGTGTACGGTAGGAGAATGCGAACAGATTTCAAGCTCTCGCTACGAGAGAGCGCCCTTGCTTTCTTCCTCTCTAGAATTCATGTTTTTGGAGAGGGGAGATTTCAGCTTCACAGCCCTCAAAAGCACAGTCCACGCCGACCATATGGGAGGAGTCACGGCAAACCATGGCGCTAATCGTCCATTACGAAAGTGGCAGACCTATTAGGACCCCTTTAGGCCAGACCAAAGACAGCGTTCACCCAGTTCTCCTGTTTTTGAATTCCTGTTTCTACTTCGGATCTCCATGTTTCAATGAACAATTGAGAAACTGCACAAAATCAGAAGCAAATCCGGGAAACATCTGAAATGGGTGTTGCAGGCAGTAAGTAGTAGTAACAGTAGCACTTGTAACAAGGAATCGTTGCTATCTATAGACTCACTCTGCCATCTGACTTCACCTTTTCTTTCGAGTCTCTTCCCATACCATGGGTGCCCTGCACACCGGCTCCCGCTGCTTTGAGGTTCATCTCAACGCCGGCTACCGTTTGCGGCTAAAGATAGTCGATTTGAACGTACAAGTAATCTGTGTCTGGAGCAGCCTCTGTGTTTTTGTTTACTCGCAGATTTCAACAATTAAATGTGAACCACACAAGGACAGCCTTATCCATGTGGCGCGATGCGTGAAGATGGCGTTGCATGCCACAGTAACGCCTGCCCATTTTCTTCGCTTGAAGATGGCTTGAGAGCAGTGGTACGGGAGTGCCGTCTTCATGATTCGCCCGTGCCCTCCTCAAAGTGCAGCACCTTTGCAGCGAAACACCTACGCGTCCGTAGAGAACAGCCAGAAATGAAAAGAAGCATAGAGGCCCAGCGTAATTTGGCTACGTCATGTTAGGAGTTGTGGCCTTGCCCGCCCGCAGCGCCACGAGGACGCCAGTATGGAGTAGGTACGGGTATCCGTCACCTTGCCCCATTCTAGTGCCACATCACCTCGCACATTGCAATGCACCGAGATTCCTCGCTGGGTGCATAGCTCGTTTCTTAATCAGATGGGTCCTGCGAGATGGTCGCGTGCACGACGTCACCGTTTTCGGCGCATCAACTCTTGCAGACTTTTTTTTGCCTTTTTTGCGGTCGTCTCTGCTAGCGTAGGCCGAAGCCGTAGCCGACGAGGAGCGGCACAGTGGCTGTTGGCTGTTCCTTGAGATTATTAGGGAAAGATCTCCAAAGGAATGATATTGAGAATCGGATCCTTCGAATGAGCAAGCCTCTGGTCCGCTTTGGTCAATAAAGAAAAGCACTTCTAGCTCCTAGATGGTGCGCTCATAGCATCAGCAAGTAAGCTTGTGTTCCTGCTCCACTAAATTGAGACACTGTATTTACGTCTACAGGTAATGATATGCTCTAGTTCGCTGTGAATGAAGGGGCGTGTTAGGCAGTATGAGTGTGCCAAACCCGTTCTCTGCCAATCGTCGAAACCGGTATTCGGCATCATTTGGTAGAAAACGAGTGATAGAAACGATATGATACAGTCTTTTTACTTGCTCGCTTGAACAACTGGTGGAGAACGGGTTTGGCACCGCGCCAACCCATCCCAGGTGACACGCATCTTCATTCGCCCCTTAGCGAACTAGACCACACCTCTACAAAGATGCTGCCTTCACGTCAGCCCATGCTACAGTATACTGTCAGGCTCGTGATGAATTTCTTATCATTCCAAGTTAACCTCATTTTCAGTTCTCGTGCTGCCATGAGCGGTTTTTCACATAGGAATAACATTTGAACTAGCATCGTTTGCTTCTCGCTGACAACACAGAAGTCTCTTCGAATTGGGATCAAGTTGGGCCTGAGGTGTTGATCAGGATTCCACTTGCGAGGGCACAGCGCCGCAAATGGCTACGCGGACGCGGCATTTAAGCGGTATCGGCAGCGAGAATGAGTCGTGCACCGTGCGTGCGTGACCTGGTTTCTGGCAGACCCGGCACATCCGCTGACCGACAGTCGTTTAGCACGATGTGGGAATCCTTACCGCAAATGCTGGATGATTTAATTTTGCATTTGCTGATTTCTTTCGCAAACACATTATCAAGTGAATCTTTTTGTAATTATGATATTGTCCTGAAATATGTTATTGCGACTTAAGTAGCGAATTGTTCAAGCGCTTCCGAGGAGAACGACGTACTTGATCAAATAATCTGCATGTAAAAGTTCGGTAAAACGACGACAGGGATAACTCCCCTGCTAGTACGGCGCAATAATAAAAAATGATTCTAACCGTTGGATGATTGCACAGATCTAGAGCACTTTCTGTGATAGCACGTGAGCTCTGAAAATGAAACTGTAAGAGATAAGTGAAGCACAGAATAGAAAAGAACGAAAAAAAATTGCCAGAAACCCCTTCAACGCTGCCACCCATTTTTGGGACATCTGTGACATTGTGGTTTTGTGTGAGCAAAACAAATCGTTAATATCCTCGCGCTGGGAGCGCGTGGCAAGCGGCGCGCGCCGCGGACGGACAGTTGTTCTTTGAGTCGTCCCCAACGCCGTTCGAAGTGTCACGAGGATGAGAAATTCAATTTGCTCGCAATTTAGTCTTTGCTTGAATTAACATGAGGTTTTACAGATTCCACGTCTGCAATCGACAAACTGTTGCATATCGGGAAGTGTCGCACATAGCCACGCGAAACGCAGGGTGTAGCGACAATCATTACCTTTTCCGTCTCCGTTCTATTTCGCAGTATATCTCAAGCACCAGTCGGATCGCCCGGCTAACGCCGAGCTCTCCTCCTTCTTGGAAGCCCGGCTTCGCCGGCTCATGCAACTGCTTAGAGCCTCACTTCTTAACTCGTGAAAGGAGCAAAGTAAGGCATAAGCAGGGCGATACTACTGTCTTAGGCATTTATGATGCTCTCATGGTGACTAACCGGTGTCTTCTAATCAAATAAATGTAGGAACGCGCCATATAGTCGCAGGGCACTTTTATAATGAAAGAGTTCAAATCTGGGTTCTTAGTGACACCACGCGTATAACTTCGGTCTCCGCAAGCTTGCTGCGTGTCCTGTTCAGGCGTCGGTTCGCGCCAGATATGGTACCCTCCACTCACTATCTCCAAACTAACTCTCAGCGTTTGCCCCGCGTCAAGCGGCCACCCTACAGGTCACACTCAGCTGCTACGCGAATAGCCCGTGCAATGGTTCTGAGTGCACTAAATGGTTGTGTTATGTTGTGGAGGGTGTTATGACTATCAAAACGCTACCACAATTTGATAATGCAACATTAATCGGTTCAGTTCCGATTGCGGTCGATCCATTTTCTTCTCATCTTATCGCAACCGTAGACGCCTTACCGCCGCAGGCGCTATGTGCTCCTAATCGCGAAATCGCCGTTCTCATCTGGTATCCCCTCACCACATCATATCCCACTGACCCTATTCAACCGGCACCCACTCCCGCACGTGGTATGCAGCCGCCATGCAACATAGGGACACTACGCCGCCACTCTTACCACCGCCTTGCTCGTGCTCACGTCCAGCTCCCAAGCGAGGCAACATCCTAGCGGCAGTAGCAGAGTATATCACAGTGGTTGGCTTAGATAGCGGGAGCGATTCACAATCCAAACAACTTCTTAGTTCGTTGCTGTAACATGGATTAGCTTGCAGTTTTGCTAGCGGTTCTTTCCTTCTCTCTTGCCGCCTGCTCCTATTCAAGCGTACGCTACGCATCCCCTTACTGTACCCAGTTTGCCCGATTCAATCCATATGCCTCCTTCCCCTGCATGGGCTCAGACGACTGAGTACGCGCAAGGGAGTGAGGATGGGGAGAAGGGGGTCACTCGATACTAACTCCCACCTTCCTCACCCCATTCCGTACTCGCCACTCCACCCCCCCCCCCACCTTGCCCCTTGCACGCGCTTACGTCCAGCTGCCACGCGAGCAACCCGTGCAATGGCTCGGAGTGTAGTGGTTTTCTTATATAGTGGAGAGTGTTATCACAACCAAAACAACTCTTAGTTCGTTACGGTAACATAGATTGGCTTGCAGTTTTGTTAGCGGTTGTTTCCTCATCCATTACCGATTTTCTAAGCTGAAACGCGCGCTACGCACCCCTCACTGTACCCCCCTCCCCGCGACCCTCCCCTCTGCCTCCCTCCCATACACTTGCTCAGCTCCGGCTGAGCACGTGCAGGAGAGGGAGGCAGGGCGACCCGGTACCCCCACCCTGCCCCGCACGAGCACACGTCCAGCTGCCACGCCAGCAGCTCGTGCAATGGCTCGGAGTGTACCGAATGGTTGTCTTATATAGCGGAGGCTGTTATCACAATCAAATCATTGGACTGCTACATCCTCCCAGTCGGTTACCGGTTTGCCTAGCGGTCGTTTTCGCCTCCAGCGAACTCGAACCCGTGAAGTATTTTGCGGACGGACAGACAAACATACATACATACATACAAACCTACATACATACAAACATACAAACCGACACACAAAGTTACTGGTTTATAGAATGAAAGGATTTCAAAGGCGAAACAACCGATCATTTGTACTCTTTCATCCCTGGACCAGAGGGACGAAAAAGTACAAATCTACCCACACTGACTGGACGTATTTGCACTCGCGGTCGCTCTATGGCAGCCATGTACTTGAAAGTAATGTGGGACCTATTCCAGCGAGCGTCTCGAATCGGAAATTCAGATTGCGGCGACGCGCAGAAACTAGTGGAGTTATAGTTTTATTCGCTGAGGATGCCTGAGCCGCTTCAACAGGCGCAGAGCTGGGCCTTGACTCGTCACGTGTCGTTTGTCCTCCGCTTATGGGAAGTGGCAGTGGCGAACTAGTTGGTAGAGCGGTATGTTATGTTTGATAACTGACTTTTTACGCCGCGCGACGTTGGCGATTACGAAAAGTTAATCGCAGGAATGCCTGAGTTGTCGGCAGAAAGCGTCCGAGCACGGTTATCAGACGGTTCACTGCCGATATCGGCTAACCGGCTCATCACGTTGAACGTGTGAGTGCTCGAAGGCAATGGCACAAATAGCCATTGAGCTGAGAGGTCAAAAGTGGCCCCGGTAGCGTAAGTGGTAACGCAACTGCCCGGTAAGCAGAAGATGCGGGTTCGAGTCCCGCCCGTGGTCCGACTTTTGCCCACAACTCAGCATTCTTGTGATAACTTTCAGTTGGTAGAATATTGACCGTCAATCCAGGCCTCGTGAATTGCCCTAGCTTCCGCAGCGAAAAAGACGATATGTAGATGACTCGGCATACGTTCAAGAAAAACACACGTTACACGCTTACCTTGGTTTTTCCCGTGAGGCGAAGGTGGCATCTTGCAAAATGTAGAAAGAGACGTTTTCCGTCCTAGGGGCGGAAGGTGATTCGTTCATGCTTCTGCTTGCAAGCTAAGTGTTTCTGACACGCCACACGCCACACGAGTATTGTAAACAATTTTGCTGTGAGACATGGGCGAACAAGGATCCGCAGGTCGCGACGTACCGAGGTTTCATGTCTCCACAGCTTCTGATTTTGCTGAA